TCAGGATATTTTATTTCTGTCTTTCCATCCCCTCCTGCTAACAATATTGAATCTGTTAAGATTGACTATAATATACGCTACTCAAAAAAATTACTATTACACACTTCAAAGTGATCTGTAGCTATTTATGGGTGAAACAAAAAAAACCTATTGGCTATTTTTTGAGCTTTGTATCTTCATGGTTAATTTCTGTATGTAACAGCCTTTCCAATGTATTTTTAAGATTTTATTTACCATAGTAAAAGCAAATTCCTTAGTTGTTCTTTTCTCCCTTTCACTTAGAGAGCTAATACTGTAAGCTTCACACATGAAGTCTAATTATGTTCTCTAGTAACTATCATTCTCATTTGGTGGCTTACAGTGTGATTTCATTTTACAAATAATGTAATTCATTCCAATGTTAGTGTTACAAGCAAGAGAATAATTATTGAAAATCACTTTCCTTTTTTTCCTCATTTAACCCTTCTCTGGTGAATTTGTTTAGAACTTAATTAAGGAACTTTTCAGCAAGTTGAAAATCAATCTTTAAAGCCAGTTGAACACAGACACTGAAACACTCATATTACTTCATGGACTTAGATTCAGAAGAGGCTCTCTAAATATGACAGGAGACATATACCTAATGCTGAGTGACGAAAGCAGAGCTGCACAGCACATTTTTACTTGGGGCTGCAATGCATTACAGAATGATGAATATTTTGGAGAATGCATCGCGAATAATATTCTGGGGGAAAAAAAAGCCTAAATGTAAGTGGAAAAAATTGTTTAACTCATACTAACCTGCCATTTTCTAACTTAATGCATGGATTTTTATTATTATTTTCTCAAAACTGCCTTCTAATTACACCAATGTGTTTACATTACTGTAAATAAGAAGAGAATTTTCTTCTCAGTACTTTCATTACTTTCAGCAATGGTTATTTGCCCCAGCATTTGAAGTATGGTTACACTGAGAACTCCTGTTAGATCTCTATAAGGGGATGAGCATGGCCCCTGGCAGAATGCTCAAAAGAAGAAGTAATTCTGTCCCCCAGCACTGTGTTCCTATGGTCCTCAAACTGGGAGAGAGTGAATGAGAGAGCAATATAGAAAAAATGGTTCCTGAAGCCAGAGACTACCTGAAGAAGGAGGAGTGGGAAATCTGGCAGGGAAATGCAGATTATGAAAACTTTGTCTGTATTCTTGTCAATGATTTATAAAAAAGCCCTATTGTCTCCCTCAACTTTCTTTCTATCACATGTGCCAAAAGCACACTAATTCAAAGTACTCTTTTATGCAACCTGTAGACATTAATATTATCTGTAGCAATGAAAATGTACCAATAGCAGCAATTTCCTCTGTCTGTCAAAAGTCTATGTGTGAGACAGCGACCCTTAATACCCTCTGTATGCAATGAAAATAAAGATGTACTTTTACATCTCACTTTATCGCACTTGTTTTAGACAGCTACTTTAAGAAGAGGTGATTAGGTCTCTAGAAGTGCTTATTTCTTTCCAGTGCTTGTAAAGAAAATCTAAGCAACTACTTTAGATATCTAAATTTGATCAGATGAATAGCAATCCAGAGAAAGGTTCACCTGCACAGGGAGAAATAGCAATCAGCATCATAACTCTGAAAAGAAAGTAACTGCAGTACTGGAGATGGTGACAGCAGGAGTATGCTCCTAGGTCAGTGAAAAGCAGGTACTGGCCACAATAAAACAGCAATTAAGAAAACCCCAAACAACTTGACATTAAGAATGGGCAGAAATTGCTAAAGTACAGGTATTTGGCCACTGATATTTCATGCCTAGCAAAAGTAGGCAGTGAAGATGCAGCTCCATTAACTCATTTGAATCACTGGATCTCCTGATGTTTCTCTGATTCCAGAGTTCGGGAGGAAAAGAACAAATTCAGCAGTTTTTGAGTGAGTATTGTACAGAGGAGCCAACATGACTCAGACCTGGTTATATAAGTAAATATTTCCATAACAATGAATACTATTTTGTAGTCTCTTAATATGCTATGTGAGTGTTTATAAAAAAAGGGATGGGTTACTTTTAGATATGCCAATGTCCACACACACACGTACATGAAAACCAGAGAAAGACTAGAACAGGAGTCTAAAACTGAAATATAACTCCATGATAATGGTATTTGTAGCAGGTGAAGGACAGAACACAAGATTGCTATTAAATAAATCATAATTTATTACATGTGCCTGTATTTGGATGCCCACTTAAGTACCTAATTACGTGAAAAATGGAATCACCATTTAAAGCAATGTTAATTTTCAAGCACACCTGCTGAGCTTAGGGTTGCCATTCAGGTACCTGCTCAGTTGCACCCTGTGGTGTGCCACCTATGGAAAATATTTCTGTGCCTATCGGGAGGCTGGCACAGGTTACCAGCGAGGAAAACCACAACTTTGCAGGTTCGGCGGGCAGTCCTATGGCCTATCCAGCATAGCTGATAAATTTCATTACGATTCCTAACTGGAGCTCTAGCAGTGCAGCATTTTTTTGTTTTGATGAGGAGACATGCAGGGAGAGCCCTTTCTCTGCTTTTTATTTCTTGGATTTCATCTCCAGTTGATAAGTCTTCCACTATGTTTACCTATACTTTTTATTCTTTTCTTGACTTCCTTGACACATGCTGTATGCCATTAGAGAGCAAAAAATACTGCTAGAAGTTCTATTCTTAGTGTTGGTCCATTTGCTTTGTTGATTATCATCCTAACTGTCAAAAAAGTGAAATGGCATTGCTTTGCAGTACCTGCGCTCCATGCTTTCACATTGTTCTTTGTTTCCTTGACAGGTAGAAACTGTTTCTGGTTTTCCTCATGAATGCTTTATGTGTGATGCCAAACAGCTCGTGGTGACAGCTAAAACATAGCAAGCAGCACTGAAGGACATTTCTCAAATGTATTTCTTTGCCCTTTTTTCACATTGAACATGTTAATAAGACTCAAGACTGCCTATGTTTTCCTATGGAGGATGGGATCTTTACTGCTTGAATATCTTTGCACTCTTGTAAATATTACTTAGGTGACAGAAAGTATGGATTTGTTTCTGAGAAGATTTTCTAATTTCTTTTACAGCTTTGACTTTTAACATATTATTTAAAAAGCTTTTATCTTGGACCAAAAGTAATGTTGCCTTACATATTCATCCATTTTACTGTAAATTGCAGGGAATTAGGTTGAGGGAATGGAGTACTATATGACTGGCCTGGCAAGAGGCAAGTCAGCGATGAGGGAGGGCATGCAAGGAGACAAGATAAAGCTACAAATGTGGTGGAGCAACCATTTCTTTCCAGGGAACTGAAGTCTCAGAGCTTTAAAGAGGACTTTGCAGCTGTCCTGTTTCAAGGTCTAGTTTGGTGAAGTACTAGATGTTTGAGCTGATAGAAACTTTCCAGGGAAACACACAGAATTGACAGACTAAAAATTTCTGATTAATACAGTTAAATTTTCATCAGGCACCAGGTGCCAGGATGGTTCTTGCTGGTTGGTGGTGCACCCTTTCCCTAAGCAACTGCCTGTCTGGCCTTCTCCTCCTCATCCAAGGGAGTCTGCCTGGGCAGAGACATCAGGGTGGTTGAGAACCAGCTCTTAAGCTCCCAGAGCAGGTGACTTATGGGAAGCCCAACTCTCCCTATCTCCAGATCAGTGACCAGAGGCACATGTCTTGTGGTCTGGAAGGCTGAGAGCAAACAAGAAACTTCTGCTTTTAGTCTCCCAGCATTTATTTATTTTTCTCTCACAGACGTTATCCAGCTTTTTAAAAAATCCCATACTTGAAGGACAGCTGATGTGACAGTGGTGGGAGAGACCGACTACAGCTTTCCAGCACTTCTCACAGAACATAATCACAGACCCTGTATGGCCTGTTTCCACCAAGGCTTCCTCCATGCCTCTCTGTGATATTAAGTCATCACCACAAATTGGGTGACTTCATTTTAGCTAGACAAAAAGGTAGCTGCCATCTATTTAGACTCTATAAATCAGCTACACAGTGGTTTTACCTATTCATTTTGTCTTCATCTATTGACAGAAGCTAGACCTTTTTCCAGAAAGCAGTTATCTCTCATGCGTTCATAATTCAGGCTGAGGGCTCTTCCTTCAGCCCAGTTTCTCAAATGCAGGTGCCTGTTGGCCTGTGCAGAGCTCCATGCCATGACTCAGCTGCTCCACATACCTGAGCTGCAGAAAGAAATATCTGCTGCTGCAATTCTTGGTCAGCCTCCAATTTATCCTACTGACGCATGTTGCACTTTTGGCCATGCTATAGGGAAACAACAGCATGAGATGACGACAGTGATTAGGAAGTTGATCTTTAGGCTCTGGAGGACAGGCAAGTAGGCATAGATGCTGACAGCTGAGCAGCAGTTTAAAAATGACCGTGATACCAAAGCCTTTATTCAAGTCTAGCTTGCAAAATCAGCTCTCTGGTCTCCATGGAAAATTTATTATTTCCCGGTACTAATACTATAGTTCAAAATTTCACAGAAGAGCACAAGGTCACCTCCAGACCAAGGGTGCTAGTGGATGCAGTGGTTTAGTTCTCAGTCCTAGTCGTCAGAGTTTCCAGCAAAACCAACACAGAAGCTTATATACTTCCATGCATATATGTGCAAGAGATCAATGAAATATATTACAAACATGAGCTCGTCTTTATTCCACTATATGTCTTTGGATTAAATAGGAAGAGTTTTACTACATCAACTGGATTCTAGTTTTGTGTATGTATTTGAATACAGCAGAAGATTTGTGTATTCATAAGAAACTTAAAAGCTGTCATTCATATGTAGGTATATATCAGATAAATAGCGGTGGCTTAATCATGTTGTTTCCTCAGGCAAAATTAGCATTTTCAATCTCTTCTTAAGATGATAGTATTTTAAGTATATTTTTACTCTTCATTTACATACTAACTTCACCAAAAACAAATAAATTGAGTTAGAGGAAATGCATTTGCTGTGTACATATTTAATCCTTTCTCTTTTGTTCTTTTTACATAGAGACTGAAAGATTTAAAGCAAAGGGAATTTGCTCGAAATGTGGCTTCAAAGTCATGGAAAGATGAGAAGAAACAGGAAAAAGCACTCAAGCGGCTCCACCAGCTTGCAGAGTTGCGGAAGGAATCAGAATGGCAAGTATTTAAACTTTACATTATATTTTAATGCCCTCTTTCCTCAGTCCCAGAAGAAATCTCCATATTTTTACACTCTGTAATGTACAGAGATTGTGTGTACTGTAACCTGTTTTCAGCTGTCCCCAACTCCTAATGTTCCTGTTCTGCAAACCATAAAACTGAAAGCCCCTGAGTTAATTAATTACTTGCTATTTGAAGGATTGTGTATTTCTCTCCCATAGCTGGTTAATCTCATGGCTTCTGAACAGAGTGGTTTGATGATGTTTTTATAATATCACCATTTTATCTTACTGAAACTCACCTGAACAGATTCGTATAACTGTCTTATCATTTGATAGTAATTGAACAGGATGGGAAAAATACCTATTAGAGCATCTGTACTTAGTTTGTGAATCTTTTTCACTACTTTTAGTATACTGAGATTATTCTCACAGTTTCTCTGTAGAGTAATGGAAGAATCAATATGTGAATGCAAAACAAGTAATTAACTGAGTTAAGTTTATCCAATACTATTAGCTCTATTGATGAATATCAAGATACATTACAAAGTTTACACTAATAAACCTTTACAGTTGAGAAATCACCTTTGTTTAATGACACTGAATACTTCAGTAGAATAGATTGTCACCAATCCAATTGTTTATGTTAATCTATGATCATAATGAGTTAAATAGACAATTAAACTGGCATCTTTTTAAATTCATATCAAGCTTACTGTACCCTGGAAATAATAACATTCAAAGTTTATTATACACTCATTTTGGCCTATGTAATTGCATTTGAGTAATCTGCTAAAATATAACAGTTTAGTGCTAATGTATCACTTTTATGGTTACAACTCTATTTTCATACAAATCTACTGAAAGAAATGTAACTGCCTGTGGGAAGACACCTTTGTGCCCATGCATTTGAAGATGTAGTCTCAGACAGACCGATATGGTCAGTGATAATGGGAAAGCCAGAGTGAAACTGGGAGGGAAACAGTGGGTTTGCTTTTAGACAGAGCCAGGAGTCCATAATCCCTTACAAAGAGCCTGGAAAGACAGTGTTTGCTATTCCTGTCTGTAATGATGATAAGGTTCAGGGGTGGCTGAGATCCGTGATCTTGGTGGAGGGGAGCATTCCCAGTTGTTCAGGCAAGACAGAAATTCAGCCTTTCTAAACAAGTCTGCACAAACACACACACACAAAATTGTTATTGTCCCTGAGTATTGTGTCTTAGTTTCCAACAGAGTTCCTCACAACAAGCTAATACAATTTGACAACAAAATTACTGTTAATCTCATGCACAGAAAAACTGAAAATGCAGCTTTATTTTGCTGTTCCAAGGAAACTTCGAAAAGAATTTCTTTACATGCCTTCTCCAAGAGAAAATTCTGTCTTGATGTACAAATAGATACAAATTTGTATCTGCTGATGCCAAATATGTGGCAAATGCAAATATAGTCTCAGAAATACATACATATTCTCAGATTCTGAGTTGACCCTGCTCCAGGGAGTCTTTATGTTGTTCTCACTGGTAAAGATCAATGCATTTTTATAGCATTTATAAAGCATTCTAGCCTATTTATAGATAGCTGTTATGCAGATCTGACAGTTGTAATTTACTTACATTTAATTAAAATATTTTCTGACTTTTAATGAAACTCTTTACTGAAGCTGATTTCAAAATGTTTTTGTGTAAGTGTACTGTAGTACTGCACTGACAGCAAACGTAGATAATTGGTCTAATGAAATGCATGTTTAAAATATTACTTAGATAACATTTGTATGGTGGCTATATGTCTCATCTCTAAAGGAAAATGACAACAGTCTCTGCAAACTCACTTAATTATCTACTGCAAGAAATCAATGATTTACCATATTTGTTAAGGCCTTCTTAGAATAGGCTGACTTTTTTTTAAAGCACAGGAAAAATAAACCACAGATTTAAAATCTCAGAGGTTTGGGGAAAGGGAAAGATGTAATTAATGAAAGTAAAATATAGAAAGTGAAAATATAAGAAAGTAAGTCAAATAGTGGTTGATAATGAGAGCACTGCATTGCCATTAATATTGTTAAAAATCCACCTTGTATCCTTTTCCCCACCAATGTTTGGTGATAGTTTTAGCATTAATACCTCTTTGAATATTTCACAAAGTAATAATATAAAGATAAAATAAAAATCTACTCTTAAAAAAATCATACATACATCCTTTCCCTATTCCCAAGCAAGCAGCATGTTGCCTTTTCTCCTGTAGTCTGATTCTGCAGATGCTCCAGGTAGAGGTGTCTCATTTTGAACAAGGCACAATTTCCATTGCAGGGGCATCTCAGAAAACCAAGACTTACAAGAGACCAGAATCTCACTGATACAAATTCAGAGTAAAGACAATACTGTTTATTCTGAATGTACATGGGCATAACTCTGAAAAAAAGAACATCTTGTGCTCATTTCATATAATTTCCTGTATGTAAAGACTGCCTTGCCTATATAGAAGCCCAAGCTCAGGGCTAGACTACACATTTACCTTTTAGAAACTTTAGAAACTTAGTTTTCACTTGTAACAGCATAAGTGACACCCTTCTTTACCAGGCAGACATTGTCAAATGTGAGTTCTGTCTTAACTTGGTTACTTAACACAGCTTGCTTGGTTTTTCTATTTATTACCTTACAGCATCACTGGGAGTGGACCATTGCTTAAAGCCCCCAGATTAGTCGTGGAAAAGCATCAATCGCCAGATGGCATTTTCCTGTGCAAAGGCGGCAAGTTTGCAGCCAGTTCTCGAAGAACCATCACAAATGAAGGACAAGGCAGCCTACCAGAGAAAGAGCAGCTTATAAGCAGGCACCAGTTACCTACTGAAAGATCCCTTGCACTTGGAAATCAAGACTTCCAAGTGTTCCCAGATAGCACCAATATTTCTCAAAGGGTGGGAGTGTCTTTCTCATTCTCTAAAAAAGTCCCTTTGAAGCTCGAGTCCTCAGCATCAGTCTTCAGTGAGAACTCTGAGGAAGGAAATGATTGTAGTGAATCCTCCAACCATAAAACAAAGCAAGCTATTGAGGGCTGTCGTTCTGGCACACTTTTGGAGGAGGACATGAAAGCAAGCTTGGATAAAGGGCCACCTATTACTCAAGACCAAATGGATTCGGATAACAGTGCGTCAAGTCATGTAGCTGCGAAACCTAAAATGCTAAAGGAGAATGATAAAAGTAGTGACAGAGAATTAGAAGAAAAGGCCGCTGCTCACCCTTCATTTTCCAAGGTCAAAATACAGCTTTCAAATTTGGAATTTTCTGGTTCAGTTAGAGAAACAGAGCAAGAGAGCAAATTGAATGAGTCTGAGCAACTGTTAGAAACACTAATTTCACCTTTATGCCAAGCTAGCAATTTTTGTACACAGTCAAACACCTGCAAGCACAGCAATGCCCACCTGCCTGACCAGTTACCTGAGCTCCCCCAACATCCAGCACCTGAGCTGGCATGCTCAAGCAGCATTAATGACAGTTCTGGGGTGGTAAAAAGAGAAAGATCTTTGGAGAGCTCAGAAACCACAAATGGGAACATGGAAACGCTTCCAAGGGAGACTGTGACTAAAGAGGTTAAGCCCTACACATTGCCTTTCCTCCGTGTAGTGAGCAAAGACGGCACCACTGCTCTGCAGTGGCCCACAGAGTTACTTCTGTTTACAAAAACTGAGCCCTGTATTTCATATGGCTGTAATCCATTGTATTTTGACTTCAGACTCTCTTTAAATCACAGAGATGGTAAACAGCATGAAACAAAGAAAGCAAGCTGTAAAGAGCACTCTATAAATAAGACTGCCAATGAAAATGAAGCCTCAGGTTTAATAAAACACAAGCAAATGTCAAATGAACAACATAATCAGTCGTTGAAACCAAAGAAGATGAAAGATTCCCTAAATTCAAGAAAGGCCAAGCAAAAAGCTGAGTCAGACATAGGGAAAGTAATGAATGAAAATGGTCAAAAATGCATTGCAGATCATTTGAATGAAAATATACCCAAAGTGCCTGCTTACCTTGATGTCTCACAAAAAGATTATTTGACAGAAAAATGTCTTCATACAACAACACTGAGAAGACCTTTAAAGCATCATTTTCATAGCTGTGAGAGAAAAAAACAGAACATTAGAAATGAAAGCATTTCCTTTTCTGCTTTTATGTCTAAGATTAAAAATTCTAAAGCTGCAAAATGTCATTTAATTTATTCTGAGGAAAAATGTGAAAACCAAAATGACTGCAGATCCATTCAAGATGTGGCCAGCTGCAGCAGTGACATAAGTGACAGTGGAAAAGACTTGAGTGGAAGTTTCCTTAGTTATAAATTCAGTTCGAACAGCAAGTATTCAGAAAAGGAAGGATCTGGAAGTTACACAAGATGCTGGAGATTCCCATCTCCTCCGAAGTTCTCCTCTGACAGACATTCCAGCTATTCTGACACTTCTGCTAGCGGTACGAGTAGCTACATGAGCTACACGAATTCAACATCGAACAATCACAGCAGAAATCATTTGCTCTTTTGTTGTAAAAGAAAAAGCAAGACAGCTGAAAGGCACAAATGTAAACACAGAAAGCACAAGTGTATTTTCACTTCTGATGATACAGACAAGGATTATCTTTGTCATAGCAGCAGTCACAGAACTAGAAACTGTACACAGAGGAGCACAATTAAATATCGAAAATGTTCAAGACATAAAGTTTTACAACACAGAGACAGATCTAAACACAGCAGATGTAGACACCGGCATTCTGGCAAAGTGCACAGTAGAAGTAGAAGCTACCATAGCTCTGAAAGTTGTTCCACCAGAGATTCAAGAAGCAGCAAAGGATCATCTACTAGTAGAATATCAAGAGGTAGCAGTTCAGGATCCTTCTCAAAAGAGACTGACAACTGTGATGACAAAACAAAAGAGGATGCAGAAAGAGGTCCTAATACTGAATTGGGAAAAGCTGAAACTGCACACTACAACTCTCTGAATGTGAATGGTCAGTCTAAAAACTTTGGCACCTGCTCTTCTGAAACCCTGGCAGAAGACATATGTGGAAAAAGGAAGTCATTGACAGCCAAGCTACTTTTAGAAAGAGTGCAATCCAAGAAGACCCAGGAACAAATGCACAATTCAGAGAGATTTTCAAACAGTTGTGGAGTAGAATTGAAGGATCACTCTCAAAGTCACTTTGCTCTTCAGTTTTCGTCATCAATAGATGGCATTGCAATGTTACCTTTGCCAGAGAAACTGATAAGCATAGGTAAAAATGACATGGGGCATAATGAAATCAGTTCGTTGGAAACCAGTGTGAAGAAAAACAACTTTGAAGCATCAGAGGTAACTGATGTTGCTCTTTCAACAGGCACTGATTATGATAATTGTCTTTTTAAAGACATCATTCAAATAGGAACAGGCTATCAGAGCCCAAGCATAAAAAGGAACACAGCAATAAAGGAACAATCCAATCTCTTCTTTAGTGAAGTGCAACCCTTTATACAAAGCTGTGACCCAGAACCAAATGTTTTCCCTGGTGCTTTTCCCTCTAATAGATATCCTGTTGTGGCTAATTCAACAGAGACCAAAGAACTACATGATGTAAACATGGACTCAAACCAGGCAGAAGGCAGTTCAGGCTCTCTGTGTGACAATGCTATGCAGAAGTATGATGACACAGTAAATGACCTAGAAGTGTACAGTAAATCCACCTCCCCTCCTTTAACACAGCAGCCTATCACATTTTCACCAGAGGAAGTAGACAAATACAGGTTGCTGCAGCTGCAAGCCCAGCAGCATATGCAGAAACAGCTCCTGGCAAAACACCTGAAAGTTTTGCCTGTCCCAGGACCAGCTGCCTTCTCTGCAACACCAGCAGTTCCTGCCCTCCCTGTTCAGCAGCATGCTACTGTCACCACCATCCACCACACACTGCTGCAGCGCTTTGCTGTCTCGGCATCAGTACATCCCCACGGCAGCCATCTCTCCCTGGCACACCTCCACCCCCTCTCTCAGGTGCATTTCACCCCCATATCACTTTCACCATTAGCACCAGCCCTTATTCCCACCCACCCTGCTCTGCTGACAGGACATCCATTGCACTTGGTCTCCACCAGCCCCCTCCACCCGTCCCCACTGACCTTCCCTCCACTGCCACACACTGCATATATCCCAGCCTTATTTACACCACACCTGAATGCAGCCACACCTTCTGCTATACATCCAAATCCCTTAGTTCATCCATTATTTCAAGGGCAAGAGCCCCATCATCATTCTTGCTCTAGCCAGACCCAACAGTTACCTACAATAAAAGAAGTTTTCAGTGTTTCTAGCTATTTAAACTAGCCCAAACAATTACACCGTGAGTCCAAACCCAAATTTGAATAAAAGAAGTTATTCAGTATTCAATCACATGTCTGAGGGGAAATCTTGGCAAATTTTTAATGGCAAATATTTTAACATTCTGGCTGACAGCGTATGAATGTCAATTTTGTTCTCACATCACTGAATAAAAGCTGGTTTAAAGTCTTTTATGATACTATCACAAGAAGGATGGAGTCTAGCTAGTGTCAGTCTACAGAAGATTTGGTAAGAACAGCCTGAAGCTAAGTCTGTAACTTGTCAGTAGGAATAGGACCACAGCACCCAGACACAACACAACTAAGAATATCAGTACTGATGAATGATTTGAAGTAGCACAATTTAACATAGGGTAATCTTGACACACCTCAAAAGTTTGGGTTTTTTTAAGTGTGTATATGCAATGGCATAGTACTGACTAAGCCAGAAAGAAAGTATCTGGGACCACAAGTCTCTGGTTCTGTCTCCTGGCCAAAATTAATTGGGGAACCCCAAAGTGAGGGGTTATGAGTTAACACTGGAAGAAGAGGGTCACAGCAACATCTCAAAGATACTTCAGTGATTTTTATCCCTGGGATATGTTGCTTGAACAGTGTAAAGTGCTTCAAGTCTGCCCACAGGTATGTAACAAAAAATTCCCTTAATCTAGGGAGCTCTGTGTAGGCACAAGCAGGCTGCTACTTTTCTCTGTGAGCCAAGCATCCAAGAAGGCAAGAGAAAGAAAGGAATGAAGCCAAGTTCTTTGGCATTGCCTGCTTGTGGCTGTAGCATAGGATATGACAGGAATAGGCTGCAGCAGCCCAGAGTTGCTAAGCAGCTGGTGCTGGCTTTGAACCCCAGAGGTCCTTGGCTAAGACTGCAACACTTCTTTCCTACCAAATAGAGCTCTGAATTTGGGAGAGTCTTGCCCAAAGAATGTTCAAATATGTTTTCACCCCTTTCACAAACAATATAAAAAGTTGGCTGGTCCTGTGAAATTGTGCTGGTATTCATAAAAATTCAGAAGTAAAATTCTGAGCGGAAATTGGCTCTCCAGGTCTGGTCTCATAGAAAACCATGCCACAGTTCTCAGCATTCAAGGTATACTGAATCTAAACAAATATGCAAAGATTCTCACATGGCTTTCCAAACTCTCAACATACAAATTGAAGTTCTGAATTTGCAGTGTTTGAATGCATGTATAAGGGTAATGCGTGGTTGAAATTTCTAGTAATAACAGTGTATCTGAAAATAGGTGAGGGCTTCAGCATCTCTTTGAATGCACATTTTAACTTTTTTTTAATGTTTCTAACTCAACATGGGATATTTAGCATGAAATTAGGTTCATAATTGTCGTTAGACTGCAGGCATGCTTCCCAATGTAATTGGACAGTGAAGTGTCCAACAGACAATACCTGTTTGTTTGGATTAGAAACATTTGAAATAATTTCAATTCATTTCAATAATGTAGTGCACAATTAATAATGTATCTTTCAGAATCAATATAAAACACATTAAAAAACTTGTGGAGGATTTTCTTATATTCAGTTATTTGAAGAATCTGAGAAATCTAATTGCAATTAAGCTGAGTGTTTAAAATAAAACTTTCTAACTTAGTTTTAATCAAACTAGATTGATCCATTGCAATAAAATGGAATTGTTTTAATTTCTAAAAGCAGCTGCTTCAGCACAAACTGGTATTATGCCAGACTTTTAAAATTGTTTTACAAGTTGTGATTGCTCATTTTGCATTTTCAAAATTTTTTTGGATACTTAGCATTTTTAGCCAGCAAATAAAAGCTGCCAGGAAAGAATCTAGAGGCTGAGCAGAAGCAAAATATTTTTGTATTGAAAAATGTTGGTGAAGCCAGAATCCTCAAATCTCTTATGATTGGATTCCCATCTGATTTATTAATTTCGTTTACAAAATGGATGCGTGCCATTTTGGATTTACTTATCTATGTGGTTTAATTTTCTCATTTTAATTGTAGGGAACTTCTTTAACTGAAATTATTTCTTCAGAATTAAGGAAGTCAGAAATTTTCTTTGGGAAAAATGTTAAAAATAAATATTTCCACAGTTTTAAAATTCTTACTTTCATTTTTGGCTGAAAATCTTTCCACAATTAGATGTGAATTTACATATAATTTATATACTTCTGAAATTTTATTTTCTGAGAATCAAACATATTTCACTAAAAGTGACTTAACAACTCTGAAAATTAGTGCTTGCTTGCTTGGATGGACATCCCTCACTCAGTGAACCACTTGGAAACATTAGTTATAATTCTGCAGAAACACTCTGAATTGGATGTTTTAAAGGATGAGGTCAACCTGTGCCCTAGAAGAGGCTGACTGAGCTGCACAGCCATTACCAGTATTTCGAGGGTAATATCAGCCTAAAAGATGCATTTCCAGCCCTACAAACATATAAATTTACCATCCTAGTTCCATTCCTATTCAAGAAAAAACAGCTGTTCTCATTGTATATGAGTTCATTTGAATCCTAAGTAAATAACAACAAGGGAAAAAGGTTGAACAGAAGAAATGGCAGGCTATTCTCATCTTTAATGTGTACACACACATTTTGTATCCCTGCTTCTTACAGGCAATGTTAATACTGTAGAAATTACTATGTCAGTAAACCTGACCAATTGAAACTTAACAATATCCTACATAATTTATGGATAATAGTTATATACATTTCCCTTAATGTATTCACAATACAACAGGATTGTAGTAAGGAACCAAATCATAGGATGTCCATGCAACATTGCGTACAGCAGCAAGGATGATCTGGTAAGACAGAAGAAATTACAAGAAGGCAAAAGACAACAAAGTTTAAATTGAATTCTTGGAACTATGGGAATTAGAATTTTGAGAGGTATTGATGGTAAAATAAGAGATTAAGAAGGAACACAAACAGCACCATAACAAAACAGCAATCATTGACTACCAACAAAGGGAATGTCCAATATTGTTCTTAGTAGACAGAAGGGATTTTCTTGGAGAAATGTAATACAATGATCAGCACAGCTGAGATGATCTATTTGCTCTACTTGCTGCCATATTTGTTTTTCGTCAGTAATACACTTTAAAGATCTATCATTATTATTATTATTAAAAGCATAATTGGGCCTGATGTATGGAGCCGTGCTTCAATTTTGACTTTATTTTGACATTTCTAAGAGTTACAGTATCCTGCTGGCAGCAATACGTACGTTCCAAGTTAATAATTTATTTTAGCTTGATTGCATATTCTTGATACATAATCCAAGGAAACAGGTCACCCACAATGTAAAAGTCCAACAACAAAAGTTTCCTGAGTTGCACATTTATTTATTTATTTATGGTAACTGAGGCACTTCTGGAATACATTTGACATGTATATTTCTTGTGCAGACTTGCATAAAAATGCCATTTGACCAGATTGATTTTAAAAATGTTAAGTTTATATTTAAAACTGGATAATACTCTGGCTAGTATAATATGTAAACTAGTAATTTTGTTTTGTATTCTCTGTATAAAGTGTTTTATATTATACAGTAGCTAAGTGAATTGCACTATTGTACATGCAATGCCGCTTTTTTTTTAGGTTATTCAAGGAATTTCTGGGAATGTAGTTTAATGCAATAATATTTTTTTTCAATAAAAAGGCTTACTGGTATAAAGAGTGTCAGTCATGTATTTTTAATGTGAAGCATACCAAAAGGCAGCAACATAATGAAATGCAGAATGATGCAAACATATTCTGTATTTTAATCTGCAGAACTGAAATGCATTTAATTCATCCCTGTGGCTATAATCCTGAAATTTCTTAAAATGTTTCCTAAAGATTTTAGTATGTGTTACAAAAGTGGGTTGTTTAAATGGAACTGAAAATAAATATTCCTTTAAAAAAAATCTATCTATGTGGTTTTTGCAAGTGCTTTTAATGAATCAACATCCTGCTGGATATTTTTATGCTCTAATCAGTTTCTTTAGAATTACACTTATAACTCACTTCTCAGGTTTCCCACATAATGTCTCTGAGCTATGATTCCTAATGTTTGTGTAGAAGGTGTCTAGTAAAGAAGTTTCATGACTGATACAGTCGCTCTATCACCCAGTGTCTCCTCCCCACCCAGGGACGGGGATCGGGCAAAGGAAAGGAGATTTGTGGGTTGAAATAGAAATATATTTAATAAAATAAGAATAACAAAACCTAATATTAATAATATACTATAAAGTACAGAGAGTTATACTCATTATACTCAGCCAGTATGGTGGGGGAGTAGGCCTCAGGGGCAGAATGGTAAACAAATCCCTCTCAAGAAGTCAGCTATGGAAGAGGGGAGAAGAAGGAGCAGGAGGAAGAGAAAGGCCACCCCCAGAAAAATCCCCAGTTTATACTGAATGTGTCTTTTGTGGTATGGAACAAATCTGCTGGCCAGCTTGGGTCATCTGCCCTGGCTTTTGCTCCCCTCAGTCTCTGCACCTGTTTATCTCAAGACTGCTGAACACCTTGAGCACTATGGCAACCTGCATATGGGCATTAGCTGAAAATTATAACAAACGTTTATACATTTTTTCCCATTATCTAGAGTGTTGTAGTCCTTATAAGATTACAGTTTTCCTCAATAGAAAACTGACTCTCAAATTCTGTTCCAGTAAACCAGGACAAGAAGCTAACAGTAGGATCCACAAATGTATTATTTATTCACTTTTTAACCATTCTTTAAAATTTACCTTAGTCATGGTAAGTATCTCTTTATCCCATGTTTTCCCTTTAACCTTGTATTTTTCCAGTTTGTTTATTGTAACCTTTTCTGTCTATCTTTCATTTATATTGTAAGCTTTCTGACACAAGGCTTTGGGTTTCGTCAGATAGATACTCAGCTTTGGATGTCCCAGGCACTCCTTTCAGTCACTGTAAGGCCAGTTACAGCCATCAGTTGCCAGTTTCAGGAGTTTCCTATCTCCAGGTGAGCACAAAGACTGAAGTAATGTGAAAACAACATTGCATGT